CTTAACAGCACCGTTTGGTGTCTCTCCCCAATTTCCATCCGTTAGGTCACCCCCTGCCTTCTTGACTTGTTCCATCCAGCCCCCGGACTGAGTGGCAGGCAGAGTGGGGTGTTTGAATTTCAATACACCGTTCTCCTTGGAGATAGTGATGCGGAACCAGGGGTTATTCATCATCCCAAGTACAGACCAGTACATCTCTCGTGGCTGGATGTTCAAGGCTTCGTCCATGGCTCGGACAACAATGCTGTCTGCAGACTCAAGCTCATGTGTTTGCACCTCTAGTGACCAGAAACACCAGCAGAAGTATGTCTCCCGCCAGGAAAGGTCAAGTTGACCACCGTAGAGATATTGACTTGTTGTCCTGTACTTGTCTTCGTCGTACCTTATATTCGAGAGTCGCCATGCTAAGTAAGTCGATGTTAGCGAATTTGCTCATATGGTTACAGGAGGTATAGACGGCCTACTTTTCCCACTGTCTAAGGAAACCTCTATCCTTGAAACCTGTCTTCCACCACCTCCGTAGGCATAACCTTTAATGGTATACGTAGGCGTTGTGGAAATTACCACTTCTTCATCATGTTGTGGGTAGGCAATTGCCGAATTGACGTTAAGATGTTGAATCACATAGCGTTCATCACGCCACCAACTATCATCTTCGGTTGCCATTTCAGGCGAGCACATTGTTCTTTATCCTCTTAGTGAAAGCCATAATGATACGGAATGACGGTACTTACGGCAGCACTCTGTTGTCATATATGTGATACCAGTTATCGCTTGGATTTTCCGTCAATATTACCTTGGTGATCCATTTCACACTCCTACCTCCTATGTGCCCTGGAATAACTGCCCTGAGCGGCCAGCCATGATCTTGACGGAGAGGCTCTCCATTCATCATGTAGGCAAGCATAACGCTCATAGCTGGATCCATAGCCGTTGAGAGCCTGATGGATGTGCCGTAATTTCCGTTTGGCTGTTAAAAAAAATGAGTATAAAGGACGCTTATCTCGACTTCCGTCAACGGGTGTCAATATACCAAAGCATCAGCCCCTTCCATGCACATGTATTTTGCCCGTTTATCTGGCTTCGCTCTGGTCAGGATGTCGTGCATCATTGGCCCCGTGAACAAGGCAGTTGATAAACCTGCTGCACCCCAGTTGAATCCCTTGGATTTTCGAACCATATTTTGCTCCTTACGACGATTTCCAGCGCAAACGAGGGTAACAGGGCAAGTAACCTGTCGAAAATCGGAAATTATCTGCCGTAGAGTCAGGACAATAGGATTCTCAACCAATCTAGATATTAAAGGGTTAGCCATGTAACCGGAACCGAAAGGCCACCTGGTCCAAAGACGCTTTACCCTTCAATAGATAGCTCCCAATTGAGGATGTCATCCTGCTCGATAACAGGAACTGCCCCGTGGTTTCGAACAAAAAATAGTTCAGGGGATGTCAGGAATCCTAAGTCATACCAGCTAACATTAGGATCGAATATTGCCTGCAGTACCACATACAAGAGGAATAGTACCTTCATCAAACAAGGCAGTGAGAGGAGATTCCGAGTTAAGCGGGTGAACACCAGTTAACCGGATTTGAATAGGGTTCCTTGGAACATGTCCATCTGGAGTTTCCTTGTCTATATCCAAGATCTCCAACGGCTTCTTAGCTGAAAGCGGAAGGGGAATATCAAATGTATTCACAAATACATCCCCATTCTTGGTGGGACTTTTCAAGGAAGATAGGCCATTTCTCTTGCTATTGAGAATGGTCAAAGGCTGTACCTGGATGGGTTCAATAGACGGCATGACGGCGTTATTTGGGGAAGAATATTCTGTTTAATTTTGAGTAGATAACCGCATTCCTGTCCAGGTAGCTCCAAATTTCATGGGAACAAAAGCAGAATAAATACTGTTCCATCCTCTTCTTCCCCAGGAATATCAGCGGCTATCCAGGCAAAAGTTGAAATGCATCCATGCTGACGCAAGCCCATTCTACGAGGGCACAGCGTATTCCAGGGGGGTCCAGATGAGATCACCCATCCTGATATGAAGGGTATCGGCGTCCTGAATCATGGGCGTGCAACCTGGCTTCTGTGCTTCCAGAGCCAGCCTACAGTGTAGAATCGAACACAACACAGGGCTCCGCGGAGATATATAAGTCACAGACTCCCTTGGCAGGAAGGGATAGATCTGCATTTTGAGGCGTGCACATCCAGACAGGCTGATAAGCGGTATTCGGGGGGATATCGTTCCGCAGCCGCTGTGCAACATAGTGGAATCCATCTTCGACGAGGGTTGAGAGGATGAACATGCAACGAGTAGCGATATCAAGCTTTTGGCAGGCTTGAACTGCATAGGCTTATGCAGGATGGCGGAGGCTGGGTGGCATCCCTGTTCCCCATATGCACAACCAAGTAAAGCTTGATTAAGCTTGAAATCCTCCTCACTTCTTCAAGGGTTTGTTTGAACGGGTGTGATTTCGGCATGTTCGTCGCACTGGAAGAGATGGATAGTTATCAGAGCGGGAGTAAACTGATGCACAGGAGGAAGCCGTCCTGCGGTTGCAGACCCTTGGAGCAGCCATCGCTTCAGACTGCCACCACTGCTATCCCCAAAAATAAATATAGGACCAGATTTGGCTATGTTAGGCGAGTGAGAGAACCCATGGGCCTAGACTCCTGCAGTCTTTGAGCGACGTTGAACGGTCGAAAAAGATTGACTAGTTACTGTAAGACGTTCCCACAAAACAATAAGCTGCGTATGCAAATGAGAATGCCGTAAACTCCATTGCATGCTTTAATCACACCGATAGTTTGCCGCATTTTCCTAGGGGGGAATTCAGTTGCTCCGGATGTACAGCATGGGCTATCTTTTACTGGACCGTAGAAAACGTCATCAATCAGCCAGGTGTTCTAATCTGCCTCCAGGGGAAGTGAGACAACATCCCTAGACAAGTTCATCAAACAGTGGCAAGGATGACTGAGCTGTCCATCATATAACCCCAGTAACTCGGGGTTATTCATATGGCAGGTAAATATCAGCCAGCCATCACGAATCTCAGCGTCATAAGGCAGAGCTCTCTCTGGTTCAATAACTTTTTGGACGTAGAGATCCTGGCTGATCTCCTCAAGACACTATCCTCTGCTGATGTCCTCGCCCCATCCTTTGCACGAATATAGCCATAAGGAACCTGTTCATATATTTCAGCGACGTGGTAGTTATACGCCTAGTCAAAAAACCAGTATATCTTAATTATTGGCCCGGGATCCGGGTGCCGGTTAAGATTTGGATGGGCTCTTAGACTCCGTCACTCGACAGCTCTCCATTCAAGGAATGGAGTGTCATGCATGGTGCATTAACACTTCACGAACAGGGGATAAATTGGCCACGCAAGAGGCACATGGGGTGCCTATGGTCAGTTCGAAGATTTCAGTAATCCAGCGGAGGGGGCTTAGACCCGAAAAGCCAGTCGGTTTAAGTATACACTTCGCGACCTCGACGACTTTCAGCCCTCGCCATACATACGTGCACTGTCATAGGTCAGCTAAATGGGATCGAGCAAACAACGAGCTGGCCAAGGTGATTACCACCGTGAAAGAAATAGCGGAATAATTCCCTCCTCTTTGCTGGATCTCTTAATATTGCCAGGACGGTTCTGAGCATCCCATACCAGAAGCATACACCTGGCAAAGATCTTTCTGACCCCTTAGACGGGGCTAAGGTCGTATTCTTGTAGAAGTAACATCCTTCACATTATCTGTCGCATGAAAGATTTGATTCATGTGTGGTATGCTCCTAAAAAAGGAACTTTATGGGTCGGATGAGGAGGATCATCATGAGAACAAGTGACGGGCTTCTCATCTAAAAATGCCTCTCAGAGTAAGATGGAGCGTTACTCACAATAGACCCTGCAGCTGATAGAAGGTAACTACCAGCAGACGGCCAATAAGCACCCCATGTTCGATAGTCATCTGATCCTGCTTTGATCCGATTTGCAACAGCGCCTTGGTGAATCCCTCCACAGCACGACGATATCCAACAAATAACAAATCCGGGTAGTGAGCAGCGTTCAAATTAAGGTAAATCCGAGTAGACGCAAATCCGTTTCTTAATTAAGCTTATCTAGATTTGTCAGGTATATATGCACCCATCGTATCCCAATATGGTATCTAGCGAGATCTCCAGTTGCAATGACACATAAGATCAGAATCGTGGCTACCATGCAGTAACGGCAACGACTCGAGGTTACAAATCCCGAGACTCAACTTCACCCCTTACGCAGCCTCATTATTGGCTTCAGTTGTAGGCAGGGTTGGCTAAGCATCCGGGCCCTATTTAACCGTACCGACCCTCCCGGCGGACGGACGAGGTGGACATGGGTATCAGGCAGATCAGCAACGAAACACACGTCCAGAAGAGAGCCGTCTTAACGCGGGCTCCAGAACTGCCCATTCCATCAGGCACTCGGCTTTGGTCTAATATAACGGCGATAGTGGCGTCCATCTCGTCTAGAAGCAGTCAGGATCCTTCGCTTGTTGAACATGGCTGCATCGATGTCTTCCAGGATTGGCCCCTTGTACTGCATAAGGAATCTCCGCGGAAACCAGAGTGAGAGATTGCCATGAAATCGGGTTCAGACAGGATATATATGGCCTGCTCACTCGCAGAGTTCTGTCCGTAAACGGCCAGAGGAGCGAGTGGTTGCTAAGCGATGTAGGTTTGGTCGGAGTGAAGTCCATGAGGAGCGACAACACGAGCAAAACACGTGGTTTGCACTGCTCAAGGGCTTCTTTCAGCTTGTCTTGAGTCTTGAAAACACTCACTGCCTCGCTGCTGACCTTGTGTGTGCGCGTGTATGGGATGAAAGCGATCTGACGCCAGCTGTGGGCGTCATCGGCTTCGCTCAGATCCATTTCGAGTGGTATAACTCGTCAACGTCCATGACTCCTTTGTCGTGTAACCAGATAACCAGCTGGCTGAGAAACGCCTCCTCCATGCGTTTGCCATGAGGGCCCCAAGAACTTCCCCCTTACACCATCAGGACCATGGTATCAAAAATATTCGAACAAGGCGCACCGATAAACGGCAGTATGCAGGTGTTCCGAGGGATGTCAGCCCCGTTATAAGATTGTCCTACATTGCCCAGACCTGTCCGGCCATATGTACCCTCTATCATCAAATGTCAAACGATCTGAGATGGCACAGGATAATATCCATCAGCACGAGCTCGCATTCTTATAGCCCTGAGAAACTGGATCAGGATAGGCTGCTCTCAACAAGATGGCAGGTGCCTGCTCAAGTCATCCCCTCCGTGAGCTGGTGTGATCTCCCATCTGATCACGACCTCAAGGATATCATGTCAGCTGTAGGTCAGCCACTCGTGGGAGGAAGTGCTATGCCCTTCAATGCCATGAGTATATTATTATCTGTCGGGAGCTCACAGTTGATCCTGATGATGGACAACTCGGGTCCTCGATTACGGTAGCTTCATTTTAAGTGATATCCCTGTGTACATCCTAAGTTTTCTAAGAACTTGATATCTATTTCTCCGCCCTGGAGAACAATGACACAAGCACCTGGTTAGGACAGCCCATACAGCTCACCAAAAGTAAATGTAGCGGCCTTATTTCACCCTCTGAAGACTGCAGTTATATGTTGAGTATATACTGGATATCAACAGTGTCATCTGTCAATTCTATATACCCCAAAATAGACCCACAGGCAGCTAAAAATGCAGCTGATATATGTTCTCCTTGCAATGTGCACCGGTGTATCTGGACATATGGAGATGAAAATGCCTTATCCATTTAGAAGGTGAGTGTATTTTAGGACAGCAAAGAACTGTGGCATCTTACTAACATCAGTATAGCAAATTCAACCCAGAAAACAAATATACCGATATTGACTACTCTATGACCAGCCCCCTGAATGCCGATGGTATATACGCCCTATCATTAGGATGGAGCAACAGGAGGACAGAAATAGCAATCTGTTTCAAGGCTGACACGCCCTTCTGTAGGCTCGAATTTCCCTTGCAAAGGATACCATTCCAACACCACATCCCGTGCAACAGCAAATTACTCAGCTGGCCAAATATACTCCTTGGAACTCACCGGTACTGCAACCCATGGCGGGGGATCCTGTCAGGTATCTCTCAGCTTAGACAACGGCACATCTTTCCGGGTGATTAAATCCATCATGGGAGGATGTCCACTTACGGACATGTACAATTTCACCATCCCCAAGGACACACCGTCCGGAAAGGCTATGCTGGCCTGGACCTGGTTCAATTTATTTGGGAACCGTGAGATGTATATGAACTGTGCCCCAGTGATGATTAATAGCTGCGCCCCAGGCGCTTCCAGGACGTTAAATCTTGAGCTCCCGAAACTGTTTGAAGCTAATATCGGAAATGGCTGCATGACCATCGAAGGGAGAGAGACAGTCTTTGCAAAGCCAGGGTGCGATGTTATCTATGGTGGAAACGTCACTGCAGACAATCCCCCAATGCCTAAATGTGAGTAAGAGACTCGTCCGGGAGTGTTTCAGGCGGCAAAACGCGATGCCGGAAGCTCGATATTATACCTCAGAATCGCGCTCGCGACTTTACTTACAAGCCGGATTACCGTCATCTCTAACGCGCGAAACACGATTGATAACCATCTAATCATATTATATTTTACCTGCGGCATCCCCTTTACCCCTGTTTTCACCATAGTCAAGCTGCTGGGTCTCTCTCTTTTTTTCATTATTTATTTTTACGTCGTATATTTACAACAACGGCCCCTTTGCGGGCCTTACCTTTCGCTACAACCTTCTTTTACTGACAGCACAATCACCTCCAGATTGACCATTTTTTCGCCTTGCGGGTATGAGGCCACTTCACAGATCTATGACGTTTTGTTACCATTTATGTAGCACATCAGCGCTACACTAATGATGTTCTGGTACCACTATTCCTATACAGGCCATATAAATTATAGATGGGAGAGGGGAAAGGCGGAAGGGATATCCGGTCCATCGACTAGTTCGCCACGCGGTATTCCAAACAGCTCTTTGACCAGACGGGGCCGATCTTAATTTCAGTCACGGACGAAGGGGAATACGAGACGCACATTACGCCTAGCAAAAAACAGATACCGAATAACATACTTACCTCTCAAGGCGGGCAAAGCCTCACCTCACGCTCATCGCCCGATGGAGAGTCCAGGTGTCATCTTAAACCCACGAATGCCCACCGCAGTTCCGTTTCCAACGGCGCGGGGCAGGAGAATAAGGGGGCGTCATTATAAGGAGGGGGGGGGGGGAATGTGGATAGCAGAAGCAACCAAGGAACAGGCGGAGGAGATTGAGATGTGCATACCGCCATTTTGAACATGTGCATGCCTACTTACTCTGTGCAAGCAATATGTAGATCCATAAGGGGGTCACAACGGTGATTTCCTCACTTTCTGGTCATTTATTTCTCCTTAGTGGGCAAAGTAGCTAACTAGCTCGTACTAGATCTCCACCATCTCAGGGGTTGAAGGGCCAAACTTCCCCATAAACTTGTTTCAAGCTGGTTGATCGTTAACCTACGGGCGATTAAAACAGAAAGCTACGGCTAGGATCCAATTTCAAGAGGAAACAAAGAGAAAACAATAATATTGAGCTATTTCATTGCACCAAACACCTCATATAGCTTCGAGATGAAAGCGAGTTTAAAAAAACTGGAGTGGCCACGGGAGAGGTCCCAAATTTAACTCTATAACTACAGTACGCGGCCAGCGGGCTCAGCAACTCGATACGGCGAGCAATTAACAAGAAAGTAGGATGACGAGTCGCTTGTCTGCTTGTCCCGAAGACTTGACAACGTGGGAGATGCAGCCAATGAGACCAGACAAAGGCCCTGAGGAGAGGAAAAAAGACTTGTCTCATGAAACTGCCAGTAGAGGAAAACCTACCAGACCTGATCAATCAAGGCATGTTAGAGTTGCGCCATCTGCGAGGTTCAGAGTAGTTTCCATCCAGCTGGGTACCTGCACGCAAGTAACACCTCGTTGTGGCTGGTGTAGCAGGTATCCAATACCTGTTTCTCGCAGTGTACTTGCGCTGCCCGTGGCTGGCTGGCGGGCGCAGGTGCATTGACAGCTGCCACCACCAGCAGCCTAGGACATGTATCATACAGAGAGAGCACCTTCATCCTCATCGCATCGCTATGGCTGTCGAAGAGGATGCGAAGGATGGGGCCTTCCGCTGCGTTTTCCTCCACCGTCTCCTTATTATTTTTCGGTATTTTCCTTACTTTACGCCCGGCGTATTCGGCAAAACAGGTACAGATACAGGGCCGTACGATACCGCCAATCGCCAGAAATACCATACCACTAGTAAGTTATCCTCTGGCGTTTTATTTTTGGCCGTCTCTCTCTCTCTCTCTCTCTTGACTTTTTTGCTTTTCCGTTTGGCTTTTGCGATGCTTTGCTCCTCGAGCTTCGACCTCTCTTGATGCACCACGAATACAAAAGCTGTATCACGCGAGGCCATCTTGCATATCGATTATCTGCTGCCTCATGCATGATCGCGCTACTCTCTCCTTTCTCCTCTCCAGCACGATCGAGCTGAGAAGAGGAGAGGCTGTGAAAAGTTGCCGGTATTAGCCGTTGGGATCTGTCCATCGTTTGCGATCACATCACATCATGGGATAACGGTGTGATGGACAGGCAGCGACTTTATGATAAGAGCGGTGGGCTGCTTTGATGGGCACGGAGAAGAAGACATTACTCCATACGGAGTGACGCAGGCGCCGGGCGGTCATCGTCCGCCCCTATATCTGATTTGGAGTGGGAAGAGCAATGAGCAGCGATCAACTACACACAGTGAGCAGAAAGCGCATGGCATGACGAGAGGGGAAGAGCGCATTGTCCCCGTCCATCCATCCATTCGCTCAGTTCCAATATTCCATATGTCCGCGTTCCCCAATGCGGAAGCGCGTGCTTCGGAGTCGAGAGAAGATCGATCAAACCCATGATGAATGTTGGTCCCCCTGGTGGGGTAGGAAAAGCAACAACCAGCTCCTCCCCCAGCCCGTTGCTCTTCAACATCTCCAAGAAGAATATACGGACAGCAAGGCTGCAAATGGTCGCTGTCGGGATCCAATAATGATAAATTAACCATGCAAGCTAACTGGTCTGTGAGAGGCGCAGCTTTGTCCCCTCTCTTTTCTTTTCCCTTCCCTTCCGTTCCTCCCTCCCGCAGCAGGGCCTGAGCTGAAGGGACGGAGTATATAATTCTTTTGCTAAGTATTCATTCACTTCACATTTCCCAGGGTGTGGACTGGGTGCCCCGGGTACGTGCATATACCGGTATCCCACGGAGCAGAGGGCAAGCCACACTTTATATGTACGACTTTCCTGCGCGAGAGCCTCGGTTAGGTCATGAGGATAAAAATAACTGAAGTAAGGGTACTCCGTAAAAATAACGGAATACAGGTATGGCGTTTGCTGTCCAGCCACAGCCTGCCCTCGCACAAGGGATGTTGGCATTGTAGATGGCCCTCTCCGCCACTACCTATCTTATGCCGCAGCTAATTTTATCCCGTGAAAGGCAGCTATACCTGTGCATCTCGACAAGCCTCTCCCCCGTTATATTACATCGACTTTTTAATTAATCGAGACGATGATATACTCTGTCCCGTCATTATAGCCTAGTGTATACCACATAAATCTGGCTGAATACAGCCTCTGGAGTAACAATATTCATTTTTACCTCTCTTTGCCGATGCTCTATTACATCTCTTTTTATACCTTGCATTATCTTCCCCGATCGCCTTCTAGCCATATATACCCTCTTCATACAGACAACATTTCCTAACCAGCCCTTACTTCACTCAACATTAGATAATCGGTAATTTTATCCTGAACATCCACGTATCATACCCAAAAAACAGACAATGTTTTTGATACAATACAAGAGCGCTACCCTAACTCCTTCGTCGCCGAATATCGGACCTGCTCTTCTGTCCATTGAAGAAGGCAAACTTCAAAACAAGCCGATAATGGCTTGCAAGAACCATAGATAACTGAGTCTAGACCCAAGTTTTTTTAAAGAAGACTCACGGAGCCACTCCTGGGTCAGGGACATACTCACCAATGGCTTCTATTGTTCCGGTGTATGACTCAATTTTATAAGCTCGTCCACGGAATTTAGAAATGTAACCGACCGAGCAAAGCTTATTTTGGCGGTACAAAACACAGGATACACAATGACGCCTTTGGAAAAATTGCTGCAGTTATGCGTCCAATTGTCTTGTAGCAACCGGAACTGCGCCCGAGGTTAAATTGATAGTCGAGTAATTATAACCCCAATGTTATCTCAGCCAGAGAAAGCTGCCTTAAATCGGGATACAGATAGCATCTCAACAACCCCATGAGTAGTTGTCGCTCCCCAAAAACTTAGTTGATATGAAAGGGAGTGGTCGCTCTGTCGGGAACTGTCAGAGGACAATCCTGGGTATTCAATTATACATAGGTAGGCCTGGATGGAAGTTGAATATTAGATTTATATGCGGCTGGCGAGAGTTTGCGCAGTTTTCATAACTGACCAATTAAGAACAGCTTAACTAAGCGAATTGACATTTTGTGGCCCGAGCGGAACCCACATTTTCCGGATTAATGATAATCCTAATTGCTTTTGATTATATAATCAGTCTCAAGCAGGTTTGCGGAGAAACTGGTCGCATGAGGAGTGTAAAAAAGACTTCTCTAAGGCTTGAAGTTGGAATTTTGACAATTGTAAGAGTCCTAATGGTAGTTCTAGATGCTAGGCCAACCCGCTAAGCTTGTTGTATCTTGAAAGGCAATATGCATTCCGATAGCCAGCGCCGAAGTGTTTCACTGGGGGTATTTTGTATTCTGATATCCTTTATGTAAGTTCAAGCATACTGATTCACCTGACTGCGACATAGTGGGTGTATGTCCCTGAATCGTAGTCTTTGATTGGTTGGTGATGGATTGTGCCGGTATATTTCCTGTATTAATAGTGACGCTGCCGGCGTGGTATGTTGTTCGGTAGGATAGAGAAAAGAAAGGAAAAGAAGAGAAGGCAGAGTCACATTCCTTCGTGAAATAACGGAATAATCCTTCCAAAGCCGCCAACTACCAGTGGAGGTAGTTAGTTGGTTGTATTTGCAGCTGCTTTTACCATCATGACTGCCTTTTGAGCCGGTGATTAGAGTTCCATCAACTGTAATTTCACAAGCGGAGCCAATCAGTGCCATGGGTGCCTTGCTTTTTGCAACGGGATGGTGGCTGAGCATTTTTATTGGACAAACCGTCCGACAGTATCCAGTAAAAGCACGTAAAATGTTTGGCACATTATAATAGGCCAAACGGTATTACGACTTCAGCCTCCAACTCCTTCGTTATGCAAGCCTTATGTTCCGTCTTCGGCTTTCTCAAGATTTCAAGATCGCAGCCTAGCACTGGCTTATTTATAGTCTCAAAGCTAGAGGGAAGAGGATTCATCATCGATTGTATGCATATACGATGAAAAACAGCCTCTAACGAGGAAATCAAGGCAGCAAAGTCCTTGTTGGCGCGCCACAGGTGGTGGCAGGTGAGCGGGGGATGTGAGAACGGGTGGGCTCAGGATTCTCAGGCTTTGGAATAATATCTGCTCCTCGCTTGTCTTCTTGTCGCCTTCTTCCCCCATACTCGTTTGCTGTCGGCCCTGGTCTAGTAGTACACACGACGCAATGGCTTGTTTGACTGTTCCACAGAAAGCACGGAGTAGGATCAGAAGAACTTGACACAGCGTATGTATCCATCTCGTTTCTCTACTCTGTTTTCACCCTTGCGCCTTGCTCTTGGGTGATTTGAGTAATCAGTGGAGATTAACTAGTTTGATGAGTCAATCCAGCGGTCAAGATGCACGAGTTGAGAATGCAAAATAATAATGTCATGGTTGGCTACTTTTCCGTTTTCTGTTGGCCGTGTGATAGATGTGACTGATGTCCGAGAGGATGGATCGCGATCTGCTCGGACATGATCAAAAAGAAAAGATTACCCACGAGATAACTAACTAGTCGGCTCTCCCTCGGGGTTTCCTTTCCCCTCTTTCTTTTACTTTACGGGGTACCCGTCTACCTTGGCGAAGGTGGTGGTTTAAGGTCAAGTGAAGGGCGAAGCGAGGTTGGTATGTGATAGTGACTCTGTCTGTGAGAGATTAGTTGACGCTTACTCGTACCCTGAGACACATTGAGGCAGAACGAGCGAAAAAGGAAGAACTTACATGGTAACTATTAATAATTCTGACAACCCCGGCCCCTAGCTAGTTAACGATCTTGCGCCCACCGTGGAGCCCAGCAGCTCATTAGTTCGTGCGGAAGAGACGGAGTGCTGGTTGGGTTCGTTAAACGTTAGGAAGCAGTCAATATTAATTGTCTCTGGGTGGGCATGGGTAAGCCACAAACGTCCATATCAGCCATCAAGCAACGAGTAACCCTCCCAACGCCTTTTTTTTTTAGCCTTGCAGCAGTGAGAGGGGAGTTATGCTGCAGAACGAGTTAGTCAATATCAGAAGCAAGCCAACCGAACTCGTCAGGGTTGCTGCTGAGCCTTTCTGCCTTGTCTGCGGGGCGGCATACCTGACCCATGCATACATTCTGATCATACTTACATGCTGCTAAACATCCATAACTAGTGACCTGGTTGAATGGATATGCAGGCTGCACATGTATGTGTGGGTGTGTGTATGCAGTACGATGTGCAGCCGCCGTGAAAATAGGCCCTTCAGCTACTGAGGACACTCATGTACGGAACAACGACCTGCAGCCAAATCTAGTATCCTCTTCTGGTACCCGATTCTTTTTTGGACTCTTCATTTCCTTCATACTGCGTTTTCTTCTTTTTGTTGCCTCTGCCTGGCTAGTTAGTGGATCAACTATCCAGAAAAGAACCCGCTCAGCCTAGCTGGCCCCTGGAGAAGTACATGACCAGGTCGGACCGGCTCTGCCATCCGCTCCAGTTGGTTTACGCCTGTGCAACGAGCAGGGGGGAGGGGAGGGGGGCTGTCGTTCCTCTTTCTGGCGCGTAGTTAAAATAATATCTGGTTGCATTATACGTATATTGAGCGGGTGGGTCGGTTAGCAGGTCCGATGGGGATAGGATAGGAGGATTCCGAGTCAACAGCGAGGCAGGCTTCTTAGCGTGCCAGTACTCGTTGAGGGTTTCTTTCCGCGAGCTGCGACTCTGCTGTGAGATCTTCTGCTAGCCTCGATAATCTGAAACGTTACTTTGATGCACAACGATGTACTATTTGCGGAGTACAGAGGGGAAGGTTGACGGCCCTATGGATACTGTGCGAAGTGTAATATCGTACTCTAGGCAAGGCACGACAAGGCATGACAAGGCAGGGCAGGAAAGGTCGGGGTATGGCCTCCGTAAAGGATGATACATACCATGTTAACCAACAATTAACAATTTAACCCAGAGTAAATAATAAATAAATAAATAGCTGGGTAAACTGGATAAACTAGTCTACCGAGTAAACCGAGCAACCCAGAGCATAACCAATGGATACGGGGTACTTCTGTCTCTCTTTCCTCGCCTAGGAAGATTCTGGTCTGTTCGTTAGGTTACCTCCCCCTTGTTACTTGGGCTTATCTCCTGCATTGCCATCACCCTTTCGCCTTCGAGCCGATCAGGCCGGAAAGGATGTAACATCCATCCTCTCGCCCCCCTTTCAGGGCAGCCGACTTGTTTTTTTTAGGCTCCCTGATGGACGCACAACAAGAGATGTTCTCTCTTCAATCCCGGCTATCCAATAGTGTCCGCAAAAGCCACCTTGTCTCTTCTTGTCTGTCGTCGCTGGCAGGCAACGATGGGAACAATTTTCCGTCCCGGCTCTTTGGCGCTCCACTTTTCTAGTGATGTGCAACTGCGCCAGTGATGTCATCATGCTTGATCAACTTATTTTTTTGCTCATCTCCCTGGTCAGTGAAAGAAGGGCCAACGACAGGCACAGCCGTGGTTGTTGAGACCAGGCTGCTGATAGGGAGAAAGAGGAGAGGGAGGGAAATTTGTGAAAGAGGAGCAGCAAAAGATGGAGAACCTGTGGATACGGAGTGAGCCGACTCCTTCTTTCTCCTTATTCATCGTCTCTTTCTCTCTTTTTTTATTTTGTTAATTTGCAAAAAAAAAAAAAAAAAAAAACCGTCCTTTGTGAAACTCGTTGGCCAAACGAGATTATATTAATGACTCCACGAAGTGTCTAATTAGCCCCCTTTTCCCACTTGGGCGATGGTTTGTAAGAAAGGACCATTATCGGAATTAGGGCTGAAAGAGCACAGAGGTTAGCTGGTATTGTATTGTAACAGTACGTCGGGTCATTTTCTGGAACATACCGGCGTATCTTAACCGCAACGCTGGTTTGGTACGTAAGTTACAGGTAACAAAGCCTCGAGGCAGGCCAGAGTAAGTAAGTACAGCGGCGAGAAGTAGCCTGATGTATAGAGATGTACGCGGGAAGCATGCTGCTGTAGGAGATAGACATGTCTTCGTCTTTGTCGTCTTCGTCGTCGTCGACGCCATGCAATGCCTATGCAACTCATTCTTCAGCATGATTGCTTGACAAGGCATGAGGTGGCGTGACTGCTACCCAGACATGCCTCTCTTCCTCCAGCTAGTACTCCGTATCTCCTTGTCACCTTCGGAATTCTAGGCCGGGAGGAGTCTCTTCTTGCCTTCTCGTGTTGGGCTTGGGCTCGTCAAGTCAACCATGGAGACGACGCCCGCGCTAGTCGGTCAATCTGGAGATGACACCTCCCATTCTGGCTGCCTTGACCAGACCTTGCCTTGACGAGAAGGATGAGCCTGCATCAGGTCGCTCGACGAAGAAGAAAGGAAAGAAAAAGGCGTATAGGCCGATATATTCCTCTTCCCTTTTTTTTTTATTTTGCCCTCTTCAGACCAGATTCAAATGCCAAAGCCAATTGATAGACGATGCCAGGCTCGTTCAACGCTAGCGATGCGAACACAGCTGCCATCCCGCTGTCGAACCCCACGGTAGATGGGGCAGCCTCTCTCGTTTTTTTTTTTTTTTCTCTCTTTCTTGATGCCCTTCGTCTAGGTTATTGTTGCGTGCTGACGACCGCAGCATTCGTCACTGTACGCTGCCTGCCGCTGTGGCCCGGTGGCCCAGGTCAGGGGTGCCTCCCTCTATGTCTCCAGACGTGACCAGTGAGGACGCTCAACGCTGCAAGAAGTCTGTCTGCCTGGGGCGCAACGTTGGGTCGTCACTTTGCCCATCTGCCTGGCTGCCTGGCAATCTCTCTCTCCCTCTCTCTCTATCTCTTTTCTCTTCCCCCGTCGTGTATCTGCTGGAGCACCACGCCGTGTCCTCAATGGCTGGGCGTTGGTCACCGCTCCTCCGAAATACGCGAGGCCATGAACGGTACCAAGGTCCTGCCAGTACGTCGAATACAAGCATATCTAATCAATTTCGGCCAACATCGTACAGATATAGCCCTCTCGGCCTTGCAGCACCCCCGTACTCCGCCGAGCACCAGCTGCCAGCTCGCCAGCTCTCTCTTTGCTGTCGTTTAAGTTCGCTGTCGAAGTACTTTTCGTCGTGTAGAGGGGGAAAAAAGGGTTGAAATTGATGTATTTTATGTAATTTAAAGCTAAAAAACGTGACTTGGTAAGCGAAATACAAAGTACAAACTTACGAGACAGCCTCGTAATACACTTACACCGCCATACAACAAAAGACCCGGCGATACCGCCAAAGTGACGTGGGCGAAAAATAAAAAAAACATCCTCGACCATCGTCTCTCCTCGACGTCGACTTCTTCTGCTTCTTCTGCCTTCGACAACCTCAGTCTTCGTGCTTCGCCCTACTGACGCTGGCCCAATAACCTCCTGCTGTGGCATTGTTTGATACGGCCCGATAGTCAGGCAGGATCTTCGCTTTCTTCTCTTTAAAGCCAGCCCTGTTCCCTCCCTCTCCCGCTTTGCTTCTTCTCCCACCTCGCCCATCCCTGCCTGCCTGCAGCTGCGATCAGATACTCGCTACCAAAATTTCACCAAGCAAACACAGCGCTTACTACAGCGACCGATTCTACTCTACTCCTTACTGCCCGAGAGCTGCCCTGACCTCCGTTCGCATTGCAAAAAAAAAAGTGAATCTCGAAATTGTTACGGAGTGACAGGCGGAGAGCTTCTAAACCTGGCTCCTCCGCACCGACAGTTACTCCCTTGCGCCAGAGACCCCTGCATTTAAGATAAAAATAAAATAGCAAAGGGGGAAAAGAGATCCAAGAAATAAAAGAAAAAATCCGCAGATACAAAAAAAAAATAAAAGCTGAACCCTGCAGGCGCTGGGCTTGCATTTCATACCCTGGACGGGGGCTCCGTTTACTTCCTCATCATATATACAGCGGCTTTCGCGCCGCTCAACACAGAGGAACGGACTTTGTTTAATTTCTCTCGACCGTTGCCGTCCTTAATCCCACTGCTTCTGTTCGCTCGTCCTGCAACATCATCAACGCCCTGTACGACCCTGTTCTTCTTTACCGGCAAAGCAAACGAGCCAGCAATTAAGAGGCTAGTTGCTGCATGCGACTATATTCCTAAAGGAGTCCTGGTACGGATTAAATGACCCCATATCACCACCATTATTGTCTCTTTTTAACTCCTCCCCTTACAAGAGGTCTCGCCCTTGACTGTGATCGTCCTGGTCTAACGGTCTTCCCATGAAATAGTTGCAAACACAACCACCTTAAAACTCTTAGCTTTCTTCCTCTGCCTGCCAGGTGAATTGTCTTTCCACTCCGGCTGCAAGACATATATCCCCTTCTTACTTCGACCCTGTTCTTTGTCTGGCCGGGTCTCCCTCTCTCCCTTTCTTTCTTTCTTTTTTTTTTTTTTACCTTCGCATTCCCAAAGGGTCAAAAACAACACGAAGAAAGGAAAAAGCAACAAGACTACTTATTTTGAAGGAAACGTTTAGGCGCCTGGAGCTCAGACCGCAGACGCACATTGCTTGAGCAAGGCTGTTGTTGGGGGTACCTAGTTGATTCTCCCGGACGGGAGGCCCCGGGACTTTTTTTTTTTTTTTTTGCAGGGAAAAAGAAACGAGAAGACAGAAAATAAACGGACTTCAGCAAGAAGCTGAAGGAAGATATATATCTTTCCCTTTTCGTTGACTGCTGGCATATTTAAATTTGCTTGATTGTTTGTTCGAATATATCTTCCCGTCAAAAGCTCTCCAATGTTCGGTGGAAGAGTTTGACTTGGTCGAAGATATATACAGCTCCTTGTCAATATGCACCACACGCCTCAGACCAGGGAGCTAAGGTGACTCGTTTGATATTTCACCGTCTCTCTCTCCCCCCCTTCCCGCCCATTCTTGCTATCACACATTTCTTCCTTACTTCTACTGCCGTCACTCCCTTTACTATACTCCCCAACACACAAATACCAAACTTCAGCCACCCCCAGTCTTCCGCAATCTAGCTGTCTCCAACTCTAAAAGGCCATACTCTCCCTGGTTTGCTCTGCTTTGCCATACAAGCATTCTCCCTGAATTGAAAGAGGGAGTGTGCTCCTATGCACATAGCCCCGGAAAATTTGCTCCACATATACCAGCAGACTTATTTGTGATCCTCCATGATGGCCTCCGCACCTCCGTCCCCTTCCCTGGTCGGCCGGTCCAGGGCCACTCCCATTAAGTCGGCCTCGCCCTTCCACCGAATCCCTCGGGTACAAGAATTCATGTCTTCTTCGTATCCTGCAACCCGCTCGGTAGCAAACTATAGCACACTAACTAGCGACATGTCAAGCTTAACGCTGGTCCACCGAAGCCATCTATCAAACTCGTCAAGTCCGGTGATAGGACCTGCTCAAACTACAGATAATGGGTTTCCAGGTCTGCCCTTAATGAACTCGCCTTTATCTACCTCCCTGGATACTCCAGGCCCTCTTGACCTCTCTGAAGGAATACTCTCTATTCCACTCCATCAAAGCTTGACGTATCCCGCTGACGCTGCCCTTGTGAATGTCGCACCCAATACCAACAACAACAGCAACAACAACAATAATAATACCATTGCCAATAGTAACAATAATACAAATACCACCAGCAATATTAAGGGTCCCGGCCTGATGAGAAGAATATCAAGGGGAGCTGCTAACAAGCTCACCCGAAGACGGCGGTCGAACTCTCAGGATAGACGCGACAAGGACTCCGGCCCTGTTACCATGCTCAGACGCAACAATAGCAAATCAACGACTTCGGCATCCTGGGATAGCGCTCTAGATTCAAGCTACGAGGAGGATGAGTCATGTGATACCCTCGGGACTTGGTGCGGCCCTGACAGCAGCAAGGTGAAAAGCGACTACCAACGGTCCATCACCAGTACTGCCAGTGGCGTTGCCCCTAAGGTTGACCCCATTCTCCAGCGCGGCTGTACCCTGACCAAGGTAAACAAGTTAAAGAAGAAACCGATGACTTTTTATCTCAATTTCGACTCTGGGAAGATGTTCTGGAACCTGTCAAACCCGACCAAGCGGGTATATATTGATGACATTAAGGAG